TACTTCGAATAGTTTTATGGAGAATAGTAAGATAAAGTGGAAGACAGGACTAATTCTTTGAAGAGTAAATGCTCGACGCAGAATCTTTTACATGGTGCATTATTACCAGCGAGAATGAGAGTAGGGATGCAACGGTGACGGTGAATCATCGCTTCTCCATTATCGTTTCACTGGTTCAAACCGATAATCTGTCCTAATCGAGATCTGGTACATATGGTCCCAGCATACTGGTAATTTGTTTCTACTGGTACATACCGGTGTACGCTTGATATCGCTAGTATAGGGCTAATACCAATATATACTGCTTTGTATCATTGATGTAAGCTAATTACTGGTAAGGGTCGGTTACCGGCAGACCAAGTATCGGTAGAGGCTACTTCTCATTTGCGATCATCAATCGAGTAAAACTTAAAAATTTTATTTTCGTTTCAAACTTAAGTTCCCAATAAACTTCAGATTTGAAATTCCTTTTTTTGAAAAAAAAAGTAATACTTCAATTGTGAACTTTATAGTCGACTAAAATATTAAAACTCTTTTTATTTTAAATTTCACTTGACTAAAAAGTTCAGAATTGAAATTTCTTGTGTTCAAAATAACTGAAAATGAAGTATTTAAATTTTCAACCTATTGTCGACAAGTATTCATAACGCTCAAATTCAACTTTTTAAATAGAATAGTGTTCGGTTTACGAAGATGTAGAATTCGCATGTGTTTTCTATATATTTTTGTAGAATATACTTATGCCACCTACACCCATAATCATTTCGTAGAATTATTGGTAATAAAGATATTTTGCATATTGTTATTAACTATATAGCCAGTCATGAATATTGATACAAGAATACATATATTCACCAGTAAGAGGTGTCGATGGAAAAAAAATCTTTTTCATAAACAAAAAAAATTGAATCGTCGGCGAAGAGAAGTTTCCAAAGTATTTCAGTAAAATATAAGATGATATTTTATCATTTTTATTTATGCACAATTTTTTTTTCAATCAATACCCTTGCTTGCGAATGTATATGTTTCTTGTGTCAATATTTATGACGGACTGTATAGTTAATAACAATGCGCAAAATATCTTTATTACCAATAATTCTATGAAATAATTATTGATTAATCGAATATATATATATTTAATAGATTAACAGTTTTTCTCAATTCATAATGATTCTAATATAATAATATAATGCATAAGTTAATTCTACAAAAATATATAGAAAACAAGAGCGAACTCTACATATTCCTAAAATAAAAAGAAATGGTATGGAAAACAAGAACGAACGCTACAAATTTCAACTATTCAAACCGAAAGTGAAATTATAATTATTATTGAAATATTCAAGTTAAAAAAGCACGATCGTAAACGACCGTATACAAAAAAATACGACGAATTATGATGGTCGTATACGATGCAATACGACGCTATATGATAGTCGTAAATGACCGTTCAAGACGACGATCATATATTCGTCGTGTACAACTCTAAGTAACTTTCCTTCCATAAAACAATGTTTTTGAATAATTATGAGTTACAAGCGCATGATAAACAGTAAATATGTTTTTTTACTAGAAACAATTTTCTTCTGGACGATCCTCTCGATCTCAAATGAACAGTGAATGTTATTTTAAACTAAACAATCTATTTTTCTTTTTTTAAAAATTTATATCAACAGCAACATGAACAGTAAGTATTAATTTATTGAAATAAATTTTCTTTTTTATTCTTAAATTTCTTCTAACAATCAATCGAGCGGTATGTTAGAATTTTTAAAAATAATTTTGTATTTTTATTTTTAGGTTTATTATAACGAAAAATAGAACAGTAAGTGCTTTTTTATTTGAATAGATTTTATTTTGTATTTTCAGAATATTCATAACAATGAATGGAATAGTAAGTATTTATTTATTTATGTATATTTTTTTTTCAATTTCTAGATTTTTCAAAACGATATACCGAACAGTAAGTATTTTTTTATTTAAATAAATTTTCTTTTTTTATTTTTAGACTATGGACAGCGACAAATGGAACAATAAGTACTTTTTATTTTAGTAAATTTTATTTCTTATTTTCAGAATATTCATAACAATGAATGGAACACTAAATATTTATTTATTTATGTATATTTTTTTTTCAATTTCTAGATTTTCCAAAACAATATACCGAACAGTAAGTAGCTTATATTTTAATAAATTTTTTTTTAGATTATTTATGCTAATAAATGAAATAATAAGTATTTTTTATGTATGTAAATAAATTTTTATTTATTTTTAGATTGCTTATGACGAGGAATCGAGGATAAGTTTTAAATTTGTAGAAAAGAGGATGTCCAGTTCGGTTAGAAACCTCAATTCGTTTTTTCCTGCAGATTCTATAAGACACCGAAGCTGCAGGAAAAAAGGAATTGGGAGTTTCAGCGAGACTGGCATCCTATTTTAGTTTTTATATTATTTTGGAGGAGGGGTATAGTGAAGTAATACGAATAGCTAACATGAAGTATGATGAAAAACGACATTGTATACGACCGTGTATGATCGTTTATGTTGGTCGTATTCAGATCGTATTTCGTCGTATACGATTGTTTCCGACTGTCATAACGATCATCTTGCGTATACGTATCACTAATTTATTTTAAATAAAAGAAAGAAGATTTTTTAATTTTTAATTGACTTTCAAGAAATGATTGGGATCATCGAATTAATTTCGTAAGTTGAAATAAATTTTTCAATAATTTAAAGAATGAAAATTTAGGACTTTGCATTGCTTCCATTTGAATAATTTAGTTTGACGAATGAAGTAATTTCGATTTTATGTTCACAAATGAGAGGATACGCGCTTAACATGTGAGTATGAAAGATAACAGACATAAACCAACAAATGATTCATTAATAATTTTCGAAATAGTTAATACGAAAACTTTTGGTTCTCATCCGATATAATGCCAGATCACTTCGCTTGGTATTAGCTACCTCGACAGATAGGGAAACATAATTCTTTAAAATGCAATTAGTTATACAAAAAACGAACTTATCTTAACCTCGAGCACCTAGGTAATATCTCTTGCGTTATTTTTGGATGAATTATTATTTGAGAAAATATTCATTTTATTTGAAAATAAATTGAAATAAATAGAGTAGAGGATGACTGGTAATTTGCTGTCTATTTTACAAAATAGAAAATGAAAATAGGAACGTTGCTCGACCTGGAAGATGTCCTGTTCTACCGCACATGACACAAGACAGGACAAGACAGAAGAAATTGTTCTGTGCTCATTTCTGTTTCACACTATTCAGCGTCATCTATTGCTAGCATCACCTGGTTATATAAAATAATCAATCCAATGATTATTTTTCTTATTCTGTTCTGCTTTCTTTTATAAATTGGTGAGTTATATCGGAGACTCTACTGCCCATAAAATGGCAATGAAGCATGTCAAGCATGTTATTTTTCATCTACTTAGAGAAAATTTTCATGAAGTGAATGCCGGAACTTTGTTTCGCGCATTATCAATGAACATTGTCCATTCCTGAAATCCATCTAGTAAATAATGGCATTTTTTATTGTCAGAAAGCAGCTGCTCTGGCATTCAAACTTCTACAACCCCAGTATGCTAGTCAAATCACTTCTTGCATTAGTCCAGGAGCAATGTTGGACAGTGCGAAAAAAAGTAACGATTCAAGTTGTATACATGTGCTGAAAAACACAACAGGTATTACTCTTCTTATTTCCTTCGATCAAGCAGCCAAAGTATCAATCGCTCAGCAAATTTGCTAAAAACTGGATTTTTCAGTGACATCATGCAGACATACATAACATTCGAAATATATCAAAAGTAGTTGAGGTGACTGATAGAACAAGTAACGCTCATCGACATCGAAGGTCGATTCACTGGGCCCTAAATTGACGGAATGATGACAAGCAGATGGTTTTATTTTCCTGGTCATTTGTGCCATGTAAATGGTAATTTCTACCATAAAAATGGTTGTTTGTGCCACAGAAATGGTCATTTGTACCATAGAAATGATCATTTGTGCCGAGTCCGTGTTACAGATAGACAGATAGACAGACAAACAAACAGACACAGGTGAATTATGGTCTCTAGACCTTAGCCTTTCAGTCTAGGGAATACTTTACACTAATGCTAATCGAGTCTTACGTCAATGCGTATTTAAGCTACTGGTATCTATGTCATAAGAAACGCAGAAATAAAGGACTTTCTGCAAATATGTATAACATTTTTCTAGTTAAGCAAATCCATCCTCTTTCTGAATCTAAACGTAGCTTGAAATATCCTTTGATTGGTGAGAACATTTCGGGAACTGAAACTCAGTTTTTCAAGCTGAACAAATATGAAAAACAAAAAAATTTTGAGACCAATTTTTTCAGAGACATTACAGAGTTTTCTTTCTTTCTCCCACGCACTATAACTGATAGAACTGAAAATTCTTTGAGATATCTACGAGCAAATAAGTGCGCATGTTTTCCGTTTCATTCAAGAATATTATAAATTTATCTCAATGATTTTCGATGTTCTAAACGTCGATCCAATAATCTTGGCTTGTTATTCTATTAATTTCTCGAGCATATCTGACGAAAATGAATTTTTTAAGAAAGCTTCTGTTCGGTATATAGAGCGATCGGCGAAAAAAGCTTTAGTATGTATTTATCAATGTATTTTTGCTTTTTTAAAATTCAAAATAAAATTTCTTATACTGTTAGACGAGAAGTTTAAGTCAACGTCTTTCGATGCTCATTTATTTGTAGATAGATTTTCGGCCATTACTCCTTTAGACCAAATCAATACATAATAGAATAAAAACATAAAGCATTTGTGCAATACGAACTATTCAGAAACGGAATGGACGCAGACACACTTCGTCTTCAATCTCTTGGATACAAACAAGAACTGAGTCGAAATTTCAATCGCCTGACGAACTATGGTGTAGCTCTTTCGGTCGTGAGTGTTTCATCAGGTCTTTCGTCTTTATTTGCGTATGGAATGGTAACTGGTGGGCCTGTTGTCATGGTCTGGGCATGGATCTTTGTTGCCATTCTTACTCTTTGTGTTACTTTGAGTATGGCCGAAATATGTTCATCCTATCCGACATCTGGTGGTCTTTATTATTGGTCTGGCATTCTAGTGCCAAAAAAGTACAAACCACTTGCTAGTTGGTTTACTGGATGGTTTAATCTGATTGGACAATTTGCGGTTACAGCTGCCATCGATTTTGGACTTGCATTGCTTGTAGCAAGTGTTATCTCTGTTGGTCTTAACTTGCAATGGTCGCCTCGTCCATTTCACATAGTTCTCATTAATTTGGGTATAGTAATCACTCATGGACTATGCAATTCCATGGGACCTCGTTTACTTTCATGGCTGACAAACGTATCAGTATGGTGGCAGTTGTTGGCACCCATTATTGTCTCTCTTGCTCTACTCATCGGCATGAAACCTGGTCATCAAACAGCTTCGTTTGTCTTCACTAAATTCGAAAACTATACTAATTGGTCAAATACAGTAAGTTTATCCGATTAACTAACTATTTTTAGTTTATATTTTCATTTCTCAGGGCTATGTCGTTTTAATCGGTCTCCTACAAGCTCAATACTGTCTTTCTGGCTATGATGCCGCAGCACATATGACCGAAGAGACCAAGAAAGCTGATGTAGCTGGATCGTGGGGTATGATTGGTGCTGTTGTCGTTTCAGCTGTCAGTGGCTGGCTTTTTCTCGTTGCATTCTTCTTTGGAATTCATGATTACGAAGCTACAGTAAATTCAGTCACTGGATTTCCTATGACACAAATTCTGCTCGATAATTTTAGCAAAGAATTAACCATATTTTTCATGTGTCTTATTCTTGTGGCCTGTTGGTTCTGTGGTCTTGCATCAGTCACAGCTAATTCTAGGATGATCTATGCATTCAGTCGAGATCATGCAATGGTGAGTTATATCTTGATCGACATTTGATCGTGATTAGGAGTATTCAGCAAATGATTCAGTTTTCTGGACAATATAGAGATTTCAGTTGATTTCCTAGGAAATATCCTGTACATCTGAGCGGTATCTTTTTTTTCAAATTAGACTTTCAATCATACTCAATGAATCATATATTTTGATATTATAAGTGTACAAAGACTTTGCAGAATGTCGTATTCGTCCATATGGCAACATGAACTTTTGAAAGAAATAGTTTTTCGATGAAGTCCTTATTTTTGAAAAGTTGAGGCTCTTCGTAGAGGGATGAAAATTTCTACAGACTTTTTAACTATTGATCAGACAAGTTACCTGTCAAGAAAAGACTCGAACCCCGGTCGAATCTAAAAAAATAGAGGAAGCTCAAAAATAGTGACGAATCTCGATTTTTAAGTTTTATTCCTGTATCTTCGGTGGTCCTCATTATGCATTGATTAACTGAACTTAATTTTGACGCTCGGCAAACTGATACTCAACCGGAAAGAAAAGAAAAAAATCGTTTGTATGATGATTTGAAAACTCAACTACTTTGTGAGAAAGTTTCGTAGAGCGCATTAATATTTTGCATGTAGAGATAGAAAATAATCGTTATTAATTGAAAGGCACGTATTGTTCGTTGCTAGTTTTAGTGGATAATCATTCAATGCTATTTTTGTTTCGTTGAGTAGCCTGGCTCTCGTTGGTGGCACAAAGTTCATCCTCGTCTTAGTACTCCTCTTTATGCTGTTTGGTTATCATGTTTTATTGCATTTATTCTTTGTCTTCCTTATCTGGGAAATTCCACAGCTTACTCTGCAATCACAAGTCTTTCCACAATCTGCTTATACATCTCATACATTCTACCTATTATATGCAAAACTATCTTCTCTCGTTTGTTTGTGCGTGGGCCATTTCATCTTGGTTGTTTTTCAAAACCGATTAATATTATAGCTATTATCTGGGTATGCTTGATTACTGTTCTTTTTGTTCTTCCACCCGTATATCCAGTCAAGCCAACCACTATGAATTATGCATCAGTAGGCATTGGAGCCGTTATTATTTTTAGTGGACTCGGCTATGTACTATCGGCAAGACATTGGTTTCAAGGACCGACCACCAATCTAGATATCGATGAAAAAGATATCGCTGAAAAACAGACAGAAATGATCATCATCCGGTTTTAGTGTTCTTTCTCACACTGTGAAAAATGCAGATGTATCACTGAACTTAAAAAAGCTTTAGCAAAGGATTTAACAAACTGCTTAATTAGGACAACTTCTTATTGGGAGCACACAGAAAGAATCGTCCTTCGAAACCTATTTTGACTTTGATAGGCGTAACAATTGCTTTTGCATAAAAATTTCAAAATGTTTAAAGTTTCATAGAATGTCTCGAGGTTGCATGCAAAACCTTCGAAACGTTCTACTAAACTTCGAAGATTTAGAAATTTTTATACAAAACCTAAATAAAGTTTTGAAGAGGAATCTTCCATGCGACCGCACGAAGAATTTTTCTGATTTGGCAGCTTGCTAAACCTCTCCTAAGTCCGATAATACATCTTCAATTTTTTTAATACAAGTGGAATGATAATCTAACTACTGCTAACCTATTCGCTACAACATTGTCTTTTCTGCTGTGTACACTGTCACGATCGTTTTATGGAGACTAAAAATGTTTATCGAAAAACGTCAAACAGTAATTAAACGAATAAAATTGGTTGTTGATCTCAAATGACGAAGACTTCTCAATTATGACGCTCTTTTTGCCACCCGATTTATACTAGTGAGGTTAGACAGACACTAAAATGATTCTTCCTCATTCGTTATCATTCTCCAGTTATGAACATTTTACTAGATTTCTGATCTCTGACAGCATATATACGAAAGAAATTGAACTTCTGAATTTCGACCTAATATTTGAGGGTGAGAATAGCTGGGTGAGAGTGAGTGTCACGGTGAGGAGTACTTTTCCATCCTCATCCACACTCATCCTCAAGATAGTCGAAGAGCCACAACACTACAAAGACTACATTTTTAACTTGAATTTTTCCGTAATTGTGGACATTTTATTGTGAGTTTTTATCCGATTTTTTGATAAAATTAAGTAAAATCTTCTCTTTTTCCGTTACATTTCTATGAAGTTTTGTTTTGTCAAGCAATCCCAAAGTTGCATTTTTTTTTGAAAAAAAATCAATAGAAACTCCTAAAAATGCATAGTCATCATCTATTTTCAAGAGAGATAAGCAACCTTCTGATATTTTTCCTCAGATATTTCCCTACTTCTTAGGTTGTACGAATTAAAACACTAGAAAAGTATGATAAAAAAAATACATTTTTTGTGAAAACAATCATTTTGTTCGCTCTTATTAGTCTAAAAATGACGTCTATCGACAGCAAAGAAGTATATAGCTTGATAGAGTAGTAGAAGAGCTTGCTTTTAAGACCTTTCGATAATATATTGATGTCTAAAATAATGCAACTTTCGCACTTATTCAAACTATATGACAAAGTACAAAAAATGATTATTTTTTCCTTAGCTCAACTAGGTCTATTATCCTTGAGGCGCCCCATGATTCAGTAAGAGATGATCAAATCAAGTTGATATCTTGGATTTTATAATAACGTCGTGAGAGATTTGTTTTGAGATATTCAAATCAAAATTCAAAAGTTTTCTTCAGGCAATTCCACAAATATGGCGTAGTTTTCTTCAGGCAATTCCACAAATATGGCGTAGTTTTCTAGCGAGTCTTCTCTTAAATTAGCTTGTTTTTATGCACTTATCTAAAACACAACCAAAAAACTTCATAGAACTTGGAAAATCAATCGTAAAAAACCATTAACAAAAATGTATTAAAAATCATTTTTTCATATTAATGAAATAGTAGTCTTCATGTTTCTTTTAGATTCATTGTTAATTCGTTTATTTTTGTTTAATTCACCCTCGCCCACTCTGAGAATCAGAAAAGAAACTCGAATTAACCGCATCAAGAAGATCAATGAACTTGATTACTTGATAAACCTCATTTGGATTTGTAAGTCAATACTGGATAAACATCAAAATGATGTGAAGCTTTGAATTGAATGAAAATCTTTGACCAATCGAATGAACAACTAGATTAATAAATATTCATGATCTAAAGAACGACAAAATGATGTGACGAACCTCGATGAGCATTTTATGGAACATTGATGATTCGACTATATTGACATGCGTTTTGTTTTCTTCAAAAGATGATTTGTCATAAGAAAATGATCAAGATAATGCTTGAGGAACTGAATGAAGTCCATTTGTAGTCAAGTTGAGGAAATCAAAAACAGAATTCGAAAATGCTAAATGATATTTCATCAATTGAATCATTTTCTTCTCACACTCTGTTTTTGGCCAACTTTATTAAAGCTCAGATTGTTCAGAAAACTTTAAAAAAAAGCAAAAAATTTATAAAATAGATTTTTCAAGAATTACATAAGTCAATTTATTATATCGTTGAAATGAAAACTCATTTTTTGAACGAAATGATAATAGAAGATTATCGAAAAATCGAAATGTATACTTGTCTTGAGTAATAATTTGGATAACGACGATGTTCATCTCAGCCACCGGTGAAATTGTCGATAATAGTACAAGGAACATGATTTTATTAATAATAAAAATATTGAAAAAATTCAAATATGATTTATGTCGTCCTTCCCAGCAAATACGACGCAGTTACGGGGTAACTGCAATCGCACTGTGACCCATAATTGCGAAAAATTGCGACGCGCTTGCCGGTAACTGCGTCACAGTTTGACCATAATTGAACACAAGAGAAATAAGTATAATATCTGTTTCCAAAAATGTGAATAACAGCTGTGATGAAGTGCATTATACTATTGTTCGGTGATTTCCTCTAAGAAAAAGGTACGCTATGAAAAGCATTTGCCTTTTTTAGTAAAATCATTGTCAATATGATCGATCAGTATAAAAAGCAATGCTAAATATTCGTTGTTGTCGATATACTTAATTTGTTGTCCATTCTGTTTTGTCCGAATAGAATGTTCTTCAATTCGAATAACATGTTTATATCATTATTTTGTTGATATCTTCAAGGATTCATTCGTTTTTTCTGTCTATCCATCGACGAGTATCTACCATCATCGAAGATAGTCGCATTCCTTAGAAAATCTTCAATGTTACTTATCATTTCGATAAAGTTGACAAGGATTCATTTTTTTTCCTGAAAAATGCCGTAAGAAATGTGATGATCTTCTATTCCGATTCATTTGTTCTTCAGTGTATTATCAGATCTGATCTCAATCTGATTATATTGACAATAAATAGTTTAAAATTGAAATAGAAAAAGTTATTGAATGAAATTATTTGACAAATGAATATTTGAGATGTCCAATATGAATGATAAATTGATGAAGAGCGTCATCTCATTAAAAAAACAAGATCAATTGGTTCAAGATGATTCAGATAAAATTTAATTAATTGTTTGATAAAGAAAGAGATTTCTGAAAAGAACGGTGAAGAATGGATAATGAATTCAATTTCGAAAATGTTTTTTGATCGATCAATGAATACAGAAAATGAAGATCGTTTATAAAGCGATATTTTATTCATAGGTTTATTCGTTTTCAGAATAAGTATTTTATAAACGGCATTTATGACTAAATCAAGTTCATTTTTGTAGAATTTTATAAAAAAAATTAACTTATCCTTTTACTTAAAACCAAAATAACGTTTTTTTAAAACAATTCAATAGGAGAAAACATCGAATACAGTAAAAATGAAACAGTGGTTTTTCTATGGTAAGTATTCAGATAGAGAATGTTTGTTGAGCAAATATAGATTGTTATCAACTATTTTCCAAATAAATCTTCAAACACATCTAACGCAGAATTTCAATAGTAAATACGAGACCTGTTCAGTAGCTACTTAAAACTTGAAAGAAACCTTAGAAATACGAAAATAATTTCTGTAAGAACATAAATCTCATAAGCTGAATAATATAAAACAGTTTATTATTTTTTTTCTGAAATTTTTATAGAAGAAATAATGTTACAAAACTTTTACTACATCCACTAATCTTAATCCATATATCTTTCAAATTTAGACTTTAAAGAAAAAATTTAACTAACTAATTTCCATGGATCAACAAATCTTTGATGAGTGTCACCAAAATGATCGGTTTTTTTTCAATAATCTATATTAACCATCATTTGAAGATTTTATACGATAAGATCGATTTTGTTTTATTGATGGATATTATCACAAAAATTGTTAAAGCGTTTATGTGAAATTCCGACAAATTTTCTATGTCTTAGGAAAAATATTAGTCTCTAATTAGTCTCATATGTGAATAAATATCCAACGACAGTTTCTTTATGAAAAACACTATCTGTTATATAAAGTAAGAGTACTAATGGTTATGTTTCAACGCCCATTCAAGCAAAGACATGACAAAATCTGGCTAGTCAAAGAAATATCAATGGCTGCAAACATACTAGAGACATAAAACAGTTTTAAATCAGTATCCTTCCTCACAATAACGATCGTAAATCGTCGTATTTTGACATATTACATGGCTATGCATTATGATCGTATTTCTCCGTATTGTATACAGATTTCGTACATTCCGTCTTGGGCAGTTAATCCACTAATTAAAATTGATCATAGTTTTTATACTGCGGTGAAAATATAAGAATACAGTGTAGTTTCAAACAATGATATAGTTGTATTAATATTTATTTACCAAGAGATGATTTAGAAATCCATAATCTTTACACAGTTTAATGAATCTAGTAAGTATACTATTTGAAAATACTCAATACATTCGAGCAATATCATTTCTATTCATCTGTCTATTTATTTATACATGTTTCATTGTTCAGTTCAATTGAGTGGTAATTCGATTGATGCATAAAAAATTAAACTGTCTGGAAAGGATGGTTGAGGTATGTTTCAAATATTACACTAATCATTTTGCTTGATGCAGTTTTAATTCGTCTAGTCTGTTTGAAGCCAAATCCTTCTAATTCACTATTTGTAGATTGTTAGTTAGGGGATAAATAACATCAAGTCAATGGCACTATAATGAGTTGCATGCACCAACGATCAATAATTATCACTGTTTTAGTATATTTCTTTTTTAATTATTTATTCATTTCTATAAATCGATAGAATCTGTTTCAAGAACAAAGCATACTGCAGTATGATCAAGAAAAAAAAACTTTCAAGAAATTTTAAAAAAAGTGTTTTCAATCGTTGCATAAAATGATTGAAATCCAAGTAACATGCTTTTTGTTTTTCTGAGTATAGTAAACATTAATATTCACTAATGACGTTAATAATGGTTGATTGTTTATTTATTTTTATACACAATAACAATTATTACTTCGGTTTTTTTTTCTTGTTGTTTTTGCACACAGAAATGCATTGACACAAGGAGTATAGACTTGTTTTCTTTTTTCGCTGTTCTATACAATATGTAACCGACTGAAAGAAAGAAAGAGTCTCATTTCTTGTTTTTTTTCTCCTGTTTTTTTTTCTCTTGTTTTTTTTCTCGTGTTACAACCTTTATCTCTGTATTCCTCCGAGTTTACATTATAGGCTAAAGTACGTGTCATCAAAATGCAATACGAACAAGGAAGCGAAAAAGTGAATATAGTAGGTGCTCATAACACACTTATTGCTAAACCATTGCCAATGAATCAAGATCCTGAAGTACAACGAACTCGCAGAATCTTTCTGATCGTACTTGGCGTGTGTCTTGTAAGTTTGTAATTTTCTTATAATTATAACTCAACAATAATGATGAAAAATATAGTTTTTTTTTTCTTTTATTTGAAATCTATATAAATTAGAGAATGTAGGTAACATGATGAACGAGAAAAAAAAACAAATTTTTATATTATAATATGGAAATAAATCAATCGCATATAGAGTTTTATAATATTTTGAGATTATTTTTCTTGAAATATTCAAATAGACAGATTGAACTATTTCCGACCGATTTGTTTTTTAACAAATTATCTTTTGCTTGAGTTTTATAATAAAAAAAAAACGTTGAACATATTTATTTATAAAAAGAAGACATATATTAATCATCTTGTTTCAAAATTAAAAAACAAAAAAAAACTGAGAAGAAAATCTTTTTTTGAAGTATTCTTGAACTGAGATCTAACATAATTTGAGATAACAGAAGAAATTTACTCAAATTAATGAAAAATGATCTCCATGTGCTAAAATAAACATGAATATTAATTCGTTTCGTACTATTCTAAAGATATATATCGATATATATATATTTGAAGAATCTGTTTTACATTGATATTATATATTAATCTTTCAGGCTCTCTGTCTAATGAATGCGATTAATGCAATTTTCGGACACAATTCTCAGCATCATATAAAACAGACTCAACGTGGTGTGCAAGTTGGTCAAAGTCTTATTTCAATAGCTTTTTACACCTTTGGAATAATCGCCACTTATCGATACTCTCAAATAGGTTTACGAGTGGTAAGAATTATTTCTTATTTCATTTTATAAATATACAAGCCGTATAAAAATCTTTGAAATAAATACATTTTGTTTTAAGTTTAAAAACAAATTTTATTTGATTTTAATAACATTTATAGCAAAGCTTTTATCTACTTAACCTTATTAATGAAAGAATCGTATATTATCTAATCATATAAGTTATTTTCTTGACCGTATCTAAAAAATCTCTTTCGTAAACATGCCAAAATGAAGGACCACACTTGGATTAAATTTCAGTTTTATTAGAAATTAAATATTTAGAAGTATCGCAGTTCAATCATTCGAACAAAAAGATAACTTTTCTAGTTAATTTTAAGTATAATTGTATTTTATTGAGGTTATTCGGTGTGTTCCATTAAAAGATCGATATTCTTCTAAAATTGAATAAGATAACTAACTGATGTACTTCAAATCAATTACATTGAGATGAAAATCATTATTCAAGAAGTTGCAATGCTATTTAAAAAATTGTCTGAAATTTTATAAAGAAATAAAATGGATTAATCAGTATACATCTCATTCGAAATAAGATATAATGGACACTCAGTTGATTAATAAATTTCTCTTACGGCACGTTTTTATCAACGTTCATATTTTTGCTACCTAAATAAGTTTAAAATAAAAATTATTTGCACACATATATATTATAATACAAAGTCAAATTGGAATTATTTTTGACAAAAAAATTTTATGCAAATAATCTTTGTTATTTTCCGAAGTCGAAAAATATCCACAACATTGATCGATTTCAAGATGATAGAATCATGATTACAAAAACAAATGATTTTTAATAGTTTGTCTGTTTCAAGAACTTATAAATATGTACGTAGATTTTTGAGAATTCCTCAAAAATAACATGTTAGATTAATACTCTTTCAATAAAATGTCCACATTAAAACTGATATTTTCATTTTCTATCTTTAGTTCGCTTGGCTAGGCATAATTTCACTTATCATTCTTGGTATTGCCACGGCAGTTTTCTTAATTTTTGGTATTACAGCTATAACTGCTGGAAGTGTGACTGACGATAATATGAGCAAGTCTCTTATGATTGGTACGTCTTTCGTTTTCTTCGTCCTTGCTAGTGTTGTAATTGTTACTTTTATTCTTACAGTAAGTAGTTTATCTGGTTCATTTCTATTGATGGAATACTTTTTTTTTTTACTTCGCAGATTGTCATTGTAAACCATGCTTTCAAATTGGCAAAACTTATTAATGACAAACAAACTCTAGTCATTCAACAGATCTAACTTTTCGTTTACTCAATAATTTAATCATATTAGCTTGTATTCATATTTTTATTTACTATTTCTTTCTCGCCTAGAAATTCAAAAAAAAATTTTTTTTTAATCTTGTCTTTATCGATAACTTGCTAAGTAGAGCAATTATTTATATTATCAAATAATATAACATGGGAAATATGTTTCTCTTACGCTTACTAAATAGAAGAAATATAGCTGAAACTGTTATCGTATTTTATTGACACAATGAGTATAACTTCTGAGATGAAGGTACTAAACAGATCGATTCACTGTGATAATAAACAGCTATAAGACCATTGTATAACGATATTTTCTTTCCTTATTTTCAGGCTGTCTGTTTATTATAGTGGTTTATATTGTCGTCATGAAGTAGAATAGCACTGCTGTCGCTCTAGATAACGATATTTATTAGATTATCTTATATTCTTAGTTGTCTATCTCAAGTATATCACACGCTTGTATAACAGAAAGATAAACACAAGAATAAATAGTACAGAAAGAAAAAAAATGACAACTATGGGAGGAAAAAACGAAGTGACCCCATTCGCACTAATGTGTACTTTAACGGACTTATCTAGTTTATTGTTTCGGTCGAAAATGATTAAAAAAATTCCATACTCTCCTGATCCATTTAGACTTACGTCCTTTTCAGTACTATCAAAACATAAAATAAACATAGGTTTTACTGTGTACATAGAAACGAGTATGTGTCGCAACTCTTTGGAAGGCACTACGCGCCCCCACGTCGCGACGCAAATATAAAAGGTCAGTTACATAGACAATTTTTAAAAAATTTTTGAGTAATTAAATTCAACATTCAAACTTTACATGTGTGATAGACTTCGATGTTTTGAATGAACATATGAACAAGGATGTACAGCAAAGAAAGTGCCAAGACTACAGTATGATTTTATTTGATATTTAGTTGTACTTTAGATTTTCCTCTGAAAAGATTTATTATTTTTATCAACGTTTCTCGAAGAAATCATAAAGTGGATTATATGACATTAAAAATACTCGGGCACTTCCATGAGAAGTATACCATAAAAAACACAAAGATCTCAAAAAATGTTTTAAGGTATCAGAATTTGTAGAGCTTTTTCGCTAATCATTTTGATAAAAAAAAATGTCTCTTTTCATCAAAAAATAACAGCGCTAGAGTCAAAATACTGAAAAATGAAAAAAATCGCATCGGTTACTTGTTTTTTTCAGTATTTTGACCCTATCACCATTATTTGTCAATGAAGTACGGCAAAATTTTATATCAAAATGATCAGCAAAGAAAGCTCTACAAGATCTGATACATCAAAACATTTTCTGAAACCTTTGCGTTTATATGACTGGCTATCTATGACTATCTATGTTCAAAAAGTCGATCACCATAACTCAAAGTGGCTATATTTCTGCACAATAGGACTTAGCGGATTTTGTAGAGCGGAGTCTACTCTACAAAACTCTATACATGGCAATTGAAACATGTCGACAAAATTGTGCGTAAAATTCGACAAAACACTAAGGACTATGATTATGCCGGAAAACGCAGATCATTTATGCATATTGCTTTGAAATTTCATTTGTTTGAGCTGAAAATTGTAGTACGGTGACATTTGAGCAATGGAAGTCGAACGATGAAGTCGGAGAAGATTTCTAAGTCTATTATGACCCAGTTGAGAGTATCTGAATAGTGATTTCGATGAAAAATTTTTCTAACATGTTATTTCTGCAATGGCGAGAATAATTTATACCTCTAGTTGAAAAATTTAATCATTTTTGAAAGATTTATTATGTCTACTGGATTTTGCTTAAAAAATTTTTGTTTTATAAGGTAACATTTTAGATATTTCAGTTCCAAAAAGTGTGAATATCGTTAAACTGTAGGTTTGACAGGAATAGCTGTGTTCGACGACCAGACTTTGGCTTATCGACTAAAGAGGCAATAATATTGTTCCATCGAACTGTCAACTTGCTTTGTATTTTAGTGTACGAAACCGACTTAGATGAATGCAGAAAAGCTGGCTTGTAACACTGAACTTCGACAATTTGATGAACCTTATCAATTGCGCAAATTTGTGCGAGATATTATTTCTCCGGCAGTACTGGGGAACAGCAAGAATACCTTTTTCTCATCGAAGCAATATAGCTTGTCGAGCATCATTTTCGGTGCAATAGAACCGTTTTCAGAGCTTGATACAACCCCACCTAAATGGTACAATTGTCATCAGACGGATTCGCTCAGCGTCGCTACTCTGTTTATAACGCTGCTTCACACCGTCCAGCAATTTATTTGATTCATCAATTTCAATGGCATGAGGATTTGGGTCGTGAGATTCAATATGAGTGTCTTCCGGAATGTCGCATAGACGATTGAGATATCGACATACATCGTCGACTTGTTCTCGAATGAACTTGTTTCGATGACTGTTTAAAAAAATAGAAGAATTGATAGGCAAACTACGAGAAAATACTTACTCATCACTTATTTTATTCATTTTCAGCAGCTGAAAGATAGCATTCAATTCTTCTCGTGCTTTCTGTCGAGTGAACGATCACTCTTCAGAAGATGGAGGATCAGCGAGATTTTCAAATACATCGCTTGCGCTGCTTGTACTCATTCGATCTTCATTATAAACGTCCATCTCTTGGGAATCGAATGGCTCATTTGACAAAACTAACAGAAAATTGAAACACTGTTTGCACAGTTTGTCACCAGCTACTAGCTTTTTTGACAACCAAAGTGTGTTAGAAGATATATGTTCGTTGATCAAATCAGCTTGGGCCACGTTAATAGTCATTCGACCCTTAGGATGCGATGGATCACATCCTGATCGAGTATCTTTAGTATGCACAGGACGAACACACCAGATCTTCTTTTTGTACGGCATATTTTTTGACTTTTTGAAACTGATTGATGTACCATACAAAATGACTTTTGAAAATAGTAGCTGAAAGATCCACTTTATTTTGATGTGCATATGTTTATTCGTAAATTCGAAATGTTGCGGACAAACAGTAAACTGAGTTTCACTACTCTCTGCAGACAGATAACAGTACCTGTTTATATAACGTGCTAAATGGAAGATACAATGGAATATACCATATGGTTTTCACATTATTTTGGAGCACATGAAATATACATACCAAAAAGAAAAGAAGAAACCAAGAGAGAAACAAGTAGAAAAAAACCTGACAAAAGGGAAGAAACATATATGTAAGGAAAAAAAAAGAATGAATCTACATAGTTAATACCGCTAGTCATGCGTCTTATATGCCATATCATACAAACATGTCATGACCATAACCATAAGATGAATCATATATACATATAATCAGTCACTGTTTAACAGATCAGAGTTATAGTCGGTTCTCCACTGTAGAATTCTTTTAGATAAATTCAAATCGCACATCGTTGACTCGGCAAAATAACATGTTAGAAAAATTTTTCATCGAAATCACTATTCAGATACTCTCAACTGGGTCATAATAGACTTAGAAATCTTCTTCGACTTCATCATTCGACTTCCATTGCTCAAATATCACCGTACTACAATTTTCAGCTCAAACAAATGAAATTTCAAAGCAATATGCATAAATGATCTTCCTTTTCCGGAATAATCATAGTCCTTAGTGTTTTGTCAAATTTTACGCACAATTTTGTCGAAATGTTTCAATTGCCGTGTATAGAGTTTTGTAGAGTAGACTCCGCTCTACAAAACTCGCTAAGTCCCATTGTGCAGAAATATAGCCATTTTGAGTTATGGTGATCGACTTTATGAACATAGATAGTCATAGATAGCCAGTCATATAAACGCAAATGTTTCAGAAAATGTTTTGATGTATCAGATCTTGTACAGTTTTCTTTGCTGATCATTTTGATATAAAATTTTGCCCTACTTCATTGACAAATAATGGTGATAGGGTCAAAATACTGAAAAAACCAGTAACCGATGCGATTTTTTTCATTTTTTAGTATTTTGACTCTAGCGGCGTTATTTTTTGATGAAAAGAGAAATTTTTTTATCAAAATGATTAGCGAAAAAGCTCTACAAATTCTGATACCTTAAAACATTTTTTGAGATCTTTGTGTTTTTTATGGTATACTTCCCATGGAAGCACCCACTCACAACATCAGTGTCTATGGCGATGATTCTTTATGTTACATATTCCGAAAATATATGAGACTTTCTTTTTGTTAAATTACTAATATCCATGTTTCTGTTCTTTTTTTCATAACAATGCAAGTCAAAGGTTCCTACAGTAAAGAACTCTCTAAAAATCATAAAGAATTTTACCAGATCCGAAAGTAATTCAAAGTTTTGTTGTCTAAAAACTGAATCCTGAATTAAGAAAAACATAAAACATCAATTAAATTTATAAAATAAACATATAATTCGAATCGAAACATGACAAAAGAAAAGAGAGCTAAATAAATTAGGTTTTTTAGTATAAGAGAATTTCCTTCGAAGATGTGTCCTGTGAACTAGAGTGTGGATCTGAGTGTGCGTGTTAGTGTACTTGTAGATCTTCGTTTTTCCCACACTGACACATGAGCAAAGCTCATTTTCGAATTTTGACCTGAAGCTTTGCACAGAGGCAGGTATCAACGATAGTTTATTGTGAAAATTTAAAGTCTTAGAATTTACTTCTATCTTCAAATAAGGGGTGTAGATGTAGGTCCTATCTTCATCGACACCTTTGTTTTAAATGTCAAATATTGATACTTGTTAGAAATACATCAGATTCAACAACAGTTTTCTATCATTTTGTTTCCTTATCATTAATATGCTGTTTAATAATAGAATTCTTTGTTTGTAAAATTTTCACCACCAGTATATTTCGGTGTTTCTCATTCTAATTTACAACTATAAATATCAATATCACTAACAACAAATGGTACAGGTACTCGTGAGACTGTATTTGTTCGTTTTAATGCGACAGATTCACTATCAATTGATTCAGAAAAATCAACAATATTTTTTTTGACATTATACAACATATGTATGCTACCTCTTCTATTAATTGTCTCATATCAACTATAATGTCACTAGCAGGTACACGTTCGAATTGTGTCCATATTTGTCGATTAATATCTTCACCTTCAATAATAGAACTTATAATTTTTGCACAACCATTATTTGTTGCTGGAAGCTATGTTAATGTTCGACCTGTTTAAATTAGCGAATCATATTTTAATTCCTCTGTAACCAAGAAGGGTGTTGGTGTGAGTGTGAGTGTGGCTGGATGTGAGATGCGGGTGTGGGTGAATGTGAGTGTGAGGTGTGGGGATGCGTTCTGAGTGTGAGTATGAGTTTGTTTCTTTTGTTTATCCAAATCCACACCCACACCCACACTCACAATCACCAATATTTAAAAATAAAAATATCTCGTTAAATGACATGCACCTGTATAAACTACTTTATCATTTCTTCAAGAAATATTCATAAGAAATTAAGAACTTTTGTCTGAGAGTAATGCAAAATATGGCTAAATCACAAATAAAAAACATACTTAGGACATGTCTTTTCTATACTTCTAAATCGATACGTCCTTTTCTATATATCATTTTGCTGTACATCCTTTCTACACACTCGACTTTGTCATACTTGTCAAATGTGAAAGTCGAATTCATTTACTCAAGAATTACAAAAAAACAAGATTTGCCCGCGTAACTAACCTTGTATATCTAAGACGTAGCATGGGAGCGCTGCATTTTCGCCGAAAAGCCGCAACCGATATGTCTCTGTGTATGCAGTAAAGTATATCATTATTTGATGTTATGACACTACTCAAAAGTACGTATCGTTTTGAATGTATAGAAAAAGACATAGAGATCTAAATGAACCAGGAAAATTCGAACGTTCTTTTTTTATATCATTTCCGATCAAAATGATAAATCGGATGGAATTCATTGTATCTTTCAAGCAAGTATATTAATTTAAAAGATCCATATTCTATTTCATATGAATATAATTTTTTTTTCTCAAAATTCTTTCTAAATAAATTATTCGAAGGATATATAATTATCTTGCTGTACAACGATCTTAAAAATGAATATTCTTTTTTTATATATTTATTTATCTATTGGTATGAACAATAGTGATACATGTTATTAACATCATATGCATCTTTCTCTTAAAATTATACATAATTACTACTGATAAGATACTTAGTGTTTGTATGCCTTCGGTAATAAATTTTAGTACATGATGGAAATTATTTTGAATGTAAATCTTGTTAATATTTTGTTTTTTCTTAATTGTTATTATTTTCTCAAGTATGATTGAAGAGATGAGTTTTTGTATTTAATTTTAATTCTAATGAAACAAAAATATTTATTGAAGTTTTTATGAATTTTTTTTTCTATTGGTTAAAATAATCATGAAAATCAAATATTCTTGTCCAAATCTCAAAACAATTTTGTTGAATTTTATAAATACCGAAAAACAAAATTTCATAATTCAATATTATTAAAGAGTAAAGTTTGTATCATTGGTATAAGCATTCAATATCATAGGTCTCAAGTAGGAAGCGTTAGTTCCTATTACTCTTAAGTTTCTTACCTAAAAATTATCTGCCAAATTTTCAGTTATTCCTACTTGTAAAAATTATTGAAAGTTATGACCATAAACTTATATATCTATTAGTGATTATCTCTGTACGATTCATATGCAATTACTTACAACTCAATGTTTCTTTTTTAATTTTTCAATCGAGTTTGATATTTTTGACATCGAAAATTTATTTCAACTGGCTCTTAGTTTCTCTTTTCTAGTGAATGACTCACAAAGTATTCTTTTTTTTTCCAATTGATTGTAAGAGAACTGACAGAGAAACACCGTGTGAAGGAAGAAAGAATATAGTATGTTTTTTTCTTTTTTGTCGTTGAGTGCAACACGTTTGGAGCACACATGATTAAATACTGTTCTGTTTGATTCAAGTAAGTATCTAATAAGGCAAATGATAGAAGTAAATGATGATTAGTAAACCTCAAATTCTTCTATATAATGAGATGTAGTTCATGAAATTTTGTAGGTATTATTTATTTGAATAAATCAATATGATTCGAATCAAACGACAACAGAATTTCATGGAATCTGTCGATTTGCAAATAAAACAGTCCCGAAGTAAGTGATTTTGATATTTGACAAATTATTTTTCATTGTTTTCTATTTTTTTTGTTGTATTTAATTTTAGTAAAACTTGAAGAAAACAAGTAAACAAGAATATAAACTTGTAATTAAATTTTCGGTTTTTTTTCTTTTTTAGTTCATCGAAAATCTATCTAGAAAATTTATCAAATGAACTTTTCTATGAAATTTTTGATTATCTTGATAGTTGTGATGTATATAAAGCATTTTCAAATCTCAATATTCGTTTTCAAAATCTTATATTTCATTCATCATTTCCATTGAAAATTAATTTTTGTACAAAATCAAAATCAATAATTGAAGATTATTGTCGACATCTTATCATTCCAAATACACATCGTATTCTTTCATTTGATTTAAGAAGTGAATTAATTATTGATCAATTTGTAAAATGTTGTACTATCAATTCATCATTTAATCGTCTTGAATCAATTATTCTTCATGGATTAACAGATCGACAACTTCTAACAATGCTCTTCTATTTAAATTCTTTACCTTGTCTTTTTTCGTTGACTATTGATATGGAAGAAGATTATTATTATAATCTCGGTGATATTTATCGATTAATTTTTTCTTTATCAAAATTAAAATATAATAAAATGTCATTATTTGGTTATGAAGAATTATTTATTGAAATGCCAATTATTATTAATGAAAGATTTAGTACTATTGAATATTTAATTATTGATTATAGTTGTACAATGAATCAACTCGATTCTTTACTTCGTCATACACCTCGACTTTGCCGTCTGAGATGTGAAAGATTGGTTGAATCTGACGAAAATGTTGAAAAATATCAATCAACAACTTTATCCTATTTGACATACATTTCTATTGGTGAATGTCAAGTTGAATTTGATGACTTTGAAATGTTCTTCAAAGAAATATCGTTTCAATTAGAAGTATTGCATATATCTGTATCTTGGAATATGTCTTATCTTGATGCTAATCGATGGGAACAATTAATGAAAAAATATATGCCATATTTAAAAAATTTTCATTTTACTTATGATCAATATATTGATGATATGTTGAAAACAAATCCTGGTCATGAATTTCTTAATCGATTTACATCATCATTTTGGCTTGAACAAAAATGGTTCTGTGAACTCAAAATTGATCGTAGAGAAATGGTTTTCGTAATTCAACCACAAAGGTACATAGAGAAAAGATTTTTGTAGTAACTAATTGATTTTATTGTTTTTGTTTTTTTCGTTAGAAAAGAATGGTTCAATTTCTATGAATATATGGAAAATGATTATATTTTTAATCAAAAAAAGATTTACAATTGTTTCATTCAAATGACTGTTGAAGATTATATTTTAACCGAACGATTTCGATTAAATATTGACAAATTAAAGCCTGCTTTTATTGCTATTCGATTTACTCATTTGAATATTAATAATAATAACATGTCTATTAGTATGTTAATTGAAATTTTACGTCTATTACCTAATCTTGAATCATTGAAAATATCCTCTTTATCAATGCTTCAATCAGAATTTTTATCTGTTGAAGATACAAAAAAATATCTTTTAGTATCAATTATTAATAAAATTACAAAAGTTAAACTTGATAAAGTTACTGAAAAAACACAAATTCAATTTCTTATTAATCTTTGTCCACGTATGCAATATTTCGAAGTCGATTGTATGTCAAATACAGATCTTAAAAAATTCATGACATTTATTTTAATAAATCAAATGACACATATTCCTAATCTTCGTTTTTTATCTCTTAATGTTCCTAATGCAAATGAAAATATGATAAAAAATATAGCAATGACAATTGAACTAGAAACAATCATTAGTAATTATAAAATTCAACGTATAGGCAACAAATTTTTCTTACATTGGAAATTAATGCAATAGATTATTTATGATAAAAAAAAAATTTCTTTTTTGTTTTACAATTCTAATGTGAATAAAATATTATTGATAACATATTTCATATCATCATGATCTATATTTATAGATTCATGTAAATGTATTGTAAATAAGACAAATGGTTTTCTTTTTCGTTTATAATAATTGCATAAAATAAAAACCTATAGATTAGTATTTGTTGTTTTTGATAATGATTATTATTAGCAACTTGTTTTTTTTTTGTAAATTCATACGTTTGAACAGTTTTCAATACGAGATGAATAATCTTCTTTGTCTGGATTCGTGTTATGATGTTCTCTACCAGTTAGATCTTGGTTACAATCTACATGAAAAATATCATCGGTGCATGAAGAGAGATGTTAGACAATCGCATTGATTCAGTTGTAAACAAACATTTTTAATTGAACATCTAATCCAATAAGAATTATTCAATTGAGCTTGGTTTTTGTTCATCCAAATAATTCATTGTTGTCGTTTAAGAGGTTAACTTCATGCGCTTTTGCATAATTTGTTTTTTTCTCAAAAGTTTTCGTTTCAGATAGATTGCTCGCTTTTTTACTATAGAAAAACCAAAAAAAAGCCGTTATTCTCATAGCTTTTCTATTCATTTTGTATGATACAAATGTTAAGTAATAAATTTACTTAATTGATAATATCTATAACTCAGACAATCAATATTCGGAATTTTTCTAAGAAATGTTCTATTTGTTTTTATGGTAGAGAATGTTTTGATAAGTCAAAATTATTCACAATCTTTATTATAAAATATAATCTCATTCTTTTTTAACAAATATTTCAGTGTAGAAATAAATATACTATCCTAAGGACATAGACATGCTCTATTATTTTGTCCTTCAGTCGAAAACACAAATAACTTATATAAAGCACTATGTTGTGTTGAAAGAAAAAATAGAAAAGGACACAAGAAGACGTCCATGAAACAATTGTGACTCTTGAAGGTAACTATACTCCGTGATTAAGGTAGTCAATAAAAAAACGATGATTCATACCATCGTTTATGAAATCCATAGTCATGACTTTTTTTTAAGGTGCATTAACCTTCTACATATATATAGAAAAAATAATAATTATTGTTGTTAACACCCATGCAATTACAAATCTATATGTTTACCAATACAATCCAAAACATGGATATAACTAATAAGCAGACTTGATATGATACATTTAAATGAGACATAGTTATGTTTAGAAATTAGTATAGAATTTCAAGTATATGATGATAATGCAATAATGAACATTTTTATTTATTTCAACAAATGATTCTAGAATTTTCTCGATTTTATTTAGTTCTATATACTTGAAACTAAATATTACTGATTATATTTTGGCTTTTACATCTATTGATGGCGGTAAACGACTTGAGAACGGTTACTGTGAGAATAATCATTTATGATGCATCACAAAGTTGATTCAAATGAAAACATAAAACAGACATTTTTATGAGAGACGCAAAACTACCACATTCAGCAACTGTGGTGGATATCGAAAAAAAAAAAGTAAATGAATCCATTATAAACCTACAAGATGTATTAAATTACAAATGAAAAAAATCAACATATGGATTTGTCAGATAAAATGGTGTTAAAAGATGCTATTTAAATAGATTTTTGGATCAACAATAGTTGATACCTACGTGTTTCATATACAAGAAAACCGTATGCAACAAAATATCAACAGAGGTAAGTACCCATGTGATAACTACCGCTGGTATACTGATATTTTGTTTTTTTGAAAGTCTTGTATCATGATATATTGCATCAAAACAGGTGAATATTTTAAAGTCTGTTAAAACTGACAGAATCGAGTCGTTGTCGATGTGTCTGAGCCACACAGCCCAATCCGGTCTCATTTATGAGATAAATTATTAGTATACATGGCGCTGCAAAAATATTTATCAGTAAAATACATTCTGAAACTATTTTTTCTCAATTAATTTGAATTTGGGTAGAAAACATTCTCTACAATCGTTTATAGCTAGAATCGAAAGTCGTATAAGCACTACCATCGGTTATTATGAGTACTGTAGTATCCTGACGGTAGTGCAAGCAAACATACAATATAGTTATGACAACAGCAAAGAACATTAAAATTTTCTGTTCTATTTGCAACAAATTATTTTATCTTGTTCGTTTTAATGAGAAATATCACATCATTCAAATAGTGAGGCAAACAATGGTATAGTCAAAACGGATGAGAGGAAGGGTTTGATTGTTTTTTCCAATAAATCATTCTTATGTTGATGTGCGAAGTCAAAGAACGATTGAGCAATGCCTTGAACAAACATAACATGGCATTGATGATGGCTTTTTTTTTGTTTGTTATTTATTTCAATCGAAATTTCTTTTCTTATAAGAGCCTTTAGCAATCATTTAAAAAAATGTTTCATTTTCGTAGAATAAATACAGCATAGCTGGTATTTGATAGCATTTCTTTGGTTTTGAGTGATACTTCAATTCAGGAGACTGCTTAAAAAAATATCCACTACATCTCAGGATCAAAACAAAGAAAAAAAGCATTTTGCTACTTTAATCAACACTTTTATTTTGGTATGTATTATGTAGTTATTCGCTATTTGTTTAAAAAATGATAATATTTCTCTAAGAAATAGTTTTGTTTTAGTCTAGAATGATCAGTAAACTGAACAATTTCTTATTTTAATGATGATTGTAGAAACTTGAGCATTTCTTCACTTTTGTATTAATTCTTCCTTGATTAAAATGTTTACTGATTGTACGTTATGGATTATCTCATTTTTGTCATGCTTATTTCTTTGAAACAACATGAGAATAATGGATGAGTGTGTGATAGCAATTATTTTATGTGAGCATGAGACTCTATTGTTCACCTTCTCACATATTCACTGAAGTCATTGTATTCTAGCCTATCCATATCTTATTTTCAATAAAAGTTACGTATTCTTATTTTATAAATTAGCGTTGATCAACAACTGTTGTCTAAAAATGTGATGAAATTAGATGTTTTTATATGAAAGATAATATGCTTTTACAGTCTTCCATACATCTTAATTTTCATATACAAATACACAAAACCTTAGACAAATATCGCAAATGTAAAACTATTGAGAATCATTCTATACATCGTTAAATCGTTGCACATGGACATGCCGTATAGAATTGTGACATTATGAAGCATGAGGCTGCAAAGAGAAAAGAAAAATAATATATATGCGAGTGGTGATGACGACAAGCAGAACAGTAAAATGCGGACCGACATATTGACATACTCGCGCACATTCTTTTTTCATTCCTCTACACAATTGGCGAACATAAGGTTTGTTACCTCGCTTCGCTTCATTGAATGAAATGTCGTCTATTAAAAAAAAAGAATATATATATATATATATTATTGAATAGTGTAACTCCAGACGTGCAGAATCTGCCTGTGTGCGCGAACGGTCGTTCGGGAAAATTTTTGAAAATTTAGTAGCATCAGAGAAATTTTTTGAAAATTTAATAGCATCTAAGAAGATTTTTTTAACAAATATTTTCTCCTATAGAAAAAATTTCTCTATTTTCAAAATGAATTTCAGTTTATTTATATACAGAATAGGTTAAAAATAAGGAAATATAATATTTTTTTGATTTCGTCTCTATGTATGAATAATAAAACCTCTTATTTATGTCACATTTACTAGGTAGTGATAGTCATATGTGTAGCATGTTATCAGTCTCGAGACTTCATAGTTTATTTCAAAAGTGTATCAATATATTTTGTATACTCTTTCGTAACTGCAGAAATATTTACTATTATTGGTCGAATTTTATTTTCGCTTTTTTTGTTTGATTGAACCAATTTGAAGAATAAATTGAATAGTTATATTCTTTTCTGAATCTCTTTAAGATAAAATAATGCAAAAAATAATACAAATATGTTTTAGGCTGGAAATTGGTACAGTCAGACGAAAAGTGATTATCAAATTCTACAAGAAAGCAATAATTCTTATTCCAGTCACACAGGAGTACATGAGATAAACCGGTATGTCTTTGAAACAAACTCTTGAGCCCAGAAACGAATGATATCCTACGCTTCTGACTGCCACTACCTAGTATATGTGCTATAAATAAGAGATTTTATTATTCATGTATAGAGACGAAATTAAAAAAAATATTGTATTTCCTTACTTTTGATCCATCCTGTATACATCGATAAGGTCTTCCAATGGGTGGGGCAAAAGTTCTGCATTAATTTTGTTTTTGATGTAGCACTGTAATGAAATCCCATAGAGATTTTATCTTTTTTTGTTTGTTAGAAAGAGTAAAATGTCTAGTGCAAAAATATACGAATGAATATCATTGAAAATGTTTGATAGAGACTACAGAAACTTTAGAACGGAAAGTATTTTGAAAAATAATTCTGCAAGTTTTTTTTGAACTTGGAAAAGATGCCATTTAATTTGATCACTTTTATTTTTACTCTTCTAATCCGAGTTTTACAAGGTACGGGTAGTGAAGTCTTGTAGCACAAAAAAGAAGCCTTTTTATATTTTTACAATGGTTGAAATGAACTCCTTAATGATATTATCTAATGTCTGCATTTTTCATCACTCTCGATTACAGTCGAAAAAATAAATTCTATTCGAATAGAAAGATTGTCAGACATTATATATTTCATATGAAAATCAACGCTTGATGAGTTCTCTATCACACGATATTATTTGAAATAGGACACATATTTTCTTTGCGATATTCAACCAAACATTTGTTTTCATGTTGGAAATTATAAATTCGCAAAATAAAATTTTTTAATAATATACTCTTCTGTTTATTCTCTTGTATGGCTAGACCAATTGTTTTAATATTACATGAAAGCCTTCTTTTTAATAGACAACTATATATATAGGATTCTCAAAAACTATTTCATAATGATCAAGAAAAAGCTCAAACAAATATTTTTGGATTAAAATATTCTCACCAAAGTTGCGAAATCCTTTTTAATGCTTTCCGTTCTAAAGTTTCTGTAGTCTCTATCAAACATTTTCAATGATATTAATTTGCACATTTTTGCACTAGACACTTTACTCTTTCTAACGAAAAAAAGATAAAATTTCTACAAGATTCCATTACAGCGCTACATCAAAAACAAAATTAATGCAGAACTTTTGCCCCACTCGTTACTTCTCTTTTTTCTTTTTTTTTCAGTAAACTTCTGGAAGACTTATCCGCGTCTTTATCTTAGTGTCAGTATCGCTTACCTTTATTCACGTTTATCATGCACCTTGCCACTTCTTTCACCCTATCTCTTTGTGCCTATTTATGAAACAACATGTACTATTTGAGTTCTCCTTTTTTTTCTATGTTTTCCTAATGGAATGCCACTACTTGCCGCTTTCCCTCCGTTGGTATATACAGTTGTTGTTGTTGTTGTATTTCAGTTCAGTTTGGATTTACTTTTAAAAATTGATTCAGGTTCGACTCGGTTCGACCTTATTTTTGAAAAGTGGTTCGAGTTTGGTTCTATTCGAATAACCCTAGTCCCGCTAAATCAGGAATACACGATGGGTTAAAATGTGTTTCTTCTGGCTCAGTGAGTTTAAATTGTTTACCAAAAGCATAAGTAACAAGAAAACTCGTTTTTTAATTGAGTTTTATACTGAAGAAAATTTTTTGCAAAAATTTTGCCGTTCGAAGAAATTTTTTATTTTACCGGCAGATTCTGCACGCCTATGTAATTCACATAAATATCAAATATATTTACACGTGGTAAGAAAAAAGTTTCAAATACACCTGGTGAATATTGTCCAAACGTATTTGAATGCGTTTTGTGTTCTGACTGCATTCACACATGACTCAACCATTTTTGAACAAAAATTTCTGAAAATGCAGTTTAACGCTATAATCGCAGTTCTTATTTGAGTGTTTTCATGTTTATTATGAAGACAATTAGATGTTTTTTGTGAATTTCTACAACCTTGCTAAATTTTCCACTAGAGAACATATAGGAGGTAATAGATTGTATGACACTCTCACCTGGAAAGTTGCCCTTAAAATATATGCTGATCGGTGTGTCAAGATTCTGCAACACCCATGCGAAATCTATTTGCCGAGCTTTTTAGAAAAAGTTTGATGCGTCCCGGTTAGCATTTAATTTTATTGATAGCTTGATGATATTGGTTAATGTAGCTTAGGATTTGTTTGTTTAAGTCTGGGAATCATCACTTAAGGTTATAATTCAATTCATTCATCCACATTGGCTAACAACATGGTAACATGATATTGATGATGGCTCAATTCGAATCTGAGATGAGTTGATATTTATGTTTCAAATTTATTTGGAATATATTCAGATGCATTTTGATTTAAAAAATATTTATTTGTTCGAAAAATTTCAAATAAGGTCAATTAGTTTCTTGCGAATTGAATCGAATCAAGTTTATGTGCAAAGAGCTTTCTTGTTAAAAATGTTCATCCTAGATCAAACACTTTTGATTTTGTTCAATAGTCATATAGAAATTTCTATTTCTGTTTATTCGAACAAAATTGTATAGAGTAAAAGAATTTTCGTAGCAAAATTAAGTATAAACGATCTTTTACATTGTAATATTTACAGAAATGGGCCAACAATTGTTCAAAGTTCACCTGGATATAGATGACAATATTCAGATCAATTCGGATACAATCTTATCAATTGCTGGTAAAGATGATATTAGTTTCTTTTTCCCATTGAAATCTTCGGATACAAAATCTAACTCAACTGAATTGAATAATGATAATCCAAATCTGAATTCTCAAATTGAATCTATAAAACAAATTCGAAATGATTTAGCTTTATTAACAAAATTAGTTCGATGGGAAGAAACTAATACAGAAATCAATGATATACTTATGAATAATATTTTTACGCTTATGGTTGATCAAAATAAAAAAATAATGGAAGAAATTAATGATCGTTTGACATATAAACAATATTTGCAAACATCTTTAATGAAAAAACTCAAAGATGATAACTATGATAGTGTATCTATTTTTGTACACTCATTTACTGATTGTTCATCGGAAAATATAACTACATTATCTACTGAGACTGATGATCAACAACAACAAAAATCTAAATATCAATTTGAACAATTATCTTATTTTTCTATTCAATCATTAATATCGATCTTATTAATACTAATCAAATCAGCTGAGAAAAATGATCCAATAATTATACATCAAATATTAACATTAGCAGGTCAATTATGTGAACAACTTCCAATGAAATGTTTGTCTTCAATAAATAGTTTCTTATTCAAATCATTGAAATCATTGGCAGATTATATTGATGAATTATCTTTATCGAAAGATCCCATTATTGCAAAACAAGCAATGAAAATTCTATTGAATTTCTCTATTGCCAAAGGATCTTTCAAAGATATCTTATCTTTATTAAGTAAATTAATATTTAATACAACTGATATTTATAATGTTCAAGGTTTATTCATACAATTAAATAACGGTCTTACAGAGACTCTCAATGAATGGGAAAAACAAAAACAAACTTTAACCGATGAAGAAAAATCTGATTCTCATTTCGAGAATGATGATAATACAATATCGAAAGAAATGACAAGTAAAAATCGATTTTACATTTTCTTCATTTGTATTTATATTCTAGTCGAATTACTAAGTGTCAGATATTTGGACATTAGATATATCTATTGCGGCTAAAAATCTGCCACTGTTGTATAGCTATGATAGAAAAGAAAAGTTCATGCACTTCGATGAAATATAGAAAAAAAAGTTACTATCGCCGTCATGGTATTCAGAAAAGTGTTTCGAACTTCACCACTGTGACTGACTGAACTAGAACTGTTGATAATACTTAGGACAGTCCAAAAGTAGTGGCGGAGGTATATCAATTCCTTATAGAAAGCTCGACGAAACCTTTTTTCTATACAGTCTGATAGAGAAAAGAAAGGTCTATTTTTCTATGCTATTTCATCAAACTTTAACTAATGTCATGATAATAAATTTTTGATAAGATTTTTTTCGTTAACATATTTGCTCGTTGTAAGTTGTACATCGCAGTTTTCAATTCCTTATTAGTTGTATTAACAACCAAAATATGCCATAATATGCAGCGTGAAAAGCTCTACAATTTCCATAAGATCATTGATTTTTTAGTTGCACTTTTTGTTTTCAAAATGGACAAAGTTTTGAGTGATCGAACTTTGGCCATTGTGTAAAAACTGATCGTATAGAATTTTTCTTTTTTTCAAAACAATTACAATAAACTTTATGATGTAGATTGTAGAGCTTTTCATACTACATCTTCTGGTGTATTTTGTTTTCCTTTTGATAAAGCATATCAGGTGATATAATGATCAGATAACAAGAAATGAATTCGTCGTGTATGAAAAACATTATCTTTTTCTATGATCGAAATTTGATCGCTCAAAATTTAGTCTATTTTAAGAATAAAATGTGCAACTAGAAATACGTGGTCTTATGGAAATTGTAGAGCTTTTCACGCTGCATATTATGGCATATTTTGGTTGTTAATACAACTAATAAGGAATTGAAAACTGCGATGTACAACTTACAACGAGCAAATATGTTAACGAAAAAAATCTTATCAAAAATTTATTATCATGACATTAGTTAAAGTTTGATCAAATAGCATAGAAAAATAGACCTTTCTTTTCTCTATCAGACTGTATAGAAAAAAGGTTTCGCCGAGCTTTCTATAAGGAATTGATATACCTCCGTCACTACTTTTGGACTGACCTAAGTAATTCATGAGATTTATCGAGTCTCTTAGTGTAACATTTGTAGATACTAAAACTTCGTCTAAATTCATGTAGTTTTCCATCGACATATGCTGTTATTAATAATGAAAAAGCGAATACATCTTTATATTAGAAAGTTATTGATTTTTCAACCAAAAAAAATTAAAAAATACAGGTGAATTCGAGAGAATTGGAGATTGTTCAAGTTGTCAAATATGTTACCGAATATTTATTTATACATCAACTACTGCTACTCGAAATATGCTTGCTCATTCATGTGTTAAAAACTTATCCAATGCAATTAGATGAGTAACCCATAGGTGAACCATTTTTTAAGAAAAAAAACCTATAGGCTGAGTAGAATCCAAGGTTGATAACCCATGGACTGACTTTCTCTGACTCAACTTAGCCCATTGAGACCTTTGATATCTATACAAGTACCCTGCCACGAGTATATCACAAGCCCTTGTTTAAATACTCTAGTGAATATTATTCCAGTACATGGCTACAAATATACTTCCAAAAAAATTTCTAATAAGAGAATCTTTCAAAATTTTAGTGAAAAAGTACCTATAATTATATGTGTCATATTGTTAACAGAATACTTTTGATCTCAGTATTATTCGAAATTTTAGAAATTAGTTCAGTTAATTATTTAAAATCTATTGGTTCATATCCTAATACACAATTATTAAATTTAAATAAAGAATTATTTACTGGACAATTTATCTCATCAATTATTTTATCACATATTGATATTGAAAATCAAATTAATTTATTTACTAAACAATCTAAACTTAGTTCAATTTCATGTGAATTTCATCCAAATACATTTAAATATTTATTTAACATTATTGAACAATTAACAACAACATCATTATTACAATCAAATCATACTGTCATTCATATTTTAAACATTTGTTTACGATTATTTACAACACATCTACAAATATTATCTGATATTAAAATAGATAATCAAATTGACTTAACAACATATATTATTGATGATGAATTAAAAAAATGGTTTGAATTATTATTAAAATTAGTTTGTAATGAAAATTTTGAACAACTTACAATATGTAAAGAAGCATCGAAAGCTCTTATTAATGTTATTAATATACAAACATCATCATTTGATGAAAAATTATCTTTAATTCATCAATATATTATTGAAAATAAATATCCAATATTAATTAAACAATTTTTAATTGAATTAAATAAACATGAAATTTTATTCAATTGGATCGATATTTTATGTGATGAAAATAAAAAATCTTCAATATTACAAATTTTATATTCATTTATTGATCTTTATTTTAATATAAACGATGAACTGAAATCTTTAATAGAACAAATATTACTTTCATTTCAAAAATTTCTATTATTTCGATTAATTGATCAATATGAAAAGAAAAATTTGACAAACAATGAACTTCAATTATCTTCTCTCATCACTCAATATCTTACATATATATTTAAAAATTATGTTCAAAAAATATCTAATGTAAATAATCTATTCAATTCAATTCTTATTGGATTATGTTTAATGACAAAAACTAATGAAATCTTTCTTTATGAATCTATTCAATCAATATTTATATCTATTTTACCATTATTAGCTGAATATTATTTACAAAATCTAAATAATGAATATAATGAATTTATTTCTTATCTACTCGGTAAAATAAGTCATGTATTAATTCTTGGTTCACCTCAAGATTCTCTAGAAATAAAACATATTAATCAATTAAAATTACCTATTTTTGCTGGTGGATATATATTTAATAAGAATAATTATTTATTAAATTCTAATCTAGCAATTTATAGTCAATTTCAATTAACATATGATACACAAAATGATAAAGATTTTCTAATGTCAGTTTATAATAATATTGATGATGGTGCAAAATTAATATCAAAATTAAAAATATTTACAAAAAATAAACAACGTTTATTACAAAAATCTATTGAACAACAAGCTAATGATGCATGTGCTGCTATATTTGCTGTTTATATAAAATATTATCGTCGAATAAATCTTGCAAAAAATGAATTATTACAAACAGATCAAATTCATCCACATAAAGAACTTTTATTAATTTATGAATATGCAAATCATATTTTAACATTATTTTCTAATATTAAAGGACAAGGTGGTGATTGTGATGAATTATTAAAACAAATTAAAATGAAAACATTATTTCTTTTATTATCTGTAAAAGAAAGTGATTTAATACCAATAATTAATGAAAATTTATCATCAATTATAATAGATTCAAAACCAAAAACTAATTTTAAATATCAACGACAATATTCACGATGGTCAAAAGCAAAACATATTATTAAATTACTTCGAAATCTTTTTCAAGCTTGTATTCGATTGAAAAAATTTATGTTAAAAAAAAAACAAGAAAATGAACAAAAATATAATTTTGAAAATTTATTACATCAAGCAATTGAAAATTTTATTTATGAAGATCTTTATAAAACACCAACATCAATAAATAATGAAGAGACACAATTGAAAATCGATGAACTTGAAAAATGTCTTTGTCGACAACATGAACGAGCTATGATAAGATTAATTACATATCAATTTATTAAGATATTTTTGCAAAATGTTCTTAATCTTAAAAATAATAATCAATGTCTACAAATTCTATCAATTTATTTACCATATTTAAAAAAGAATGATTTAGAATGGTCTTATTTTGATAATATACCAACATCTAATAATCAATTAAAAGATGAAATAAGTAATAATTATTATTCAATTATTAAACTTGCTTTATCTATATGTTTAAAATCAAAAAATTTATTAGAAAAAATTTTTTATTTACTTAATTTATCTTATGAATCAATTGATCTTTGTCATTTATATAATTATCAATTAAATGAAATATTATTTATATCATTTGTTAGTTTTATTCAAAATTTTGAATATAATACATCATTAGATTTAAAATTTATTTCATTTAATTGGTTTCGTTTATTTGTTTTTAAATTATGTGAAAATAATGAAATTGAAAAACAAAAAGATATATTCAATCAAATATTAGAAAAACAAGAAAAATTCGTTTTTAATATATTAATTTTAAATGAATTAAAAAATTTCAAACCAATACAAGATACATTATCAATTAATTCTGAAGAACAAAAAAGAAATTCTCTAAAAAATATTGCTATCGGTTGGTTTCTTCAAGCAAATCAAACAGATCAGAATAATGTATCGATGATTTCAAATACATATGAAATTGAACTTTATCTAAATCAATATTTAGTTCTTTTACTTCAATGTAGTTATAATTATAAACATATTTTATCTATTTGTGCAAATAGTGATTATCTTAAAGAATTACTTAACATTTATCATAACAGTCAATCTAATATTACACGTTTACTTACTGTAAAATTCTTGCGTTATTTAATTCCCTATATACCAGATAATATTGATGGAATATCGAAAAGTCTTATTGAAAAATTCTTAATCGATGCTTTAGATTCCATTGGTAAAAATAATATTTCACAAGAAATTCTAGCAGAATTAGTCTACATGTATCGTACAATAATGTCAATTAATTCATCATGGCAAATAATAGCAACAAATTTTGTAATGAATTCTATAAAATTATATTTAAATTTGAAATCAATTGAACTTAATGATTTACATGAAATGAACAAACTTTTAGCATCATTATGTATTTTAGGTGAATATATTGAACCTTATCGATTAGGTTCTATAGTAACAATTGATAATGATAAAAAATCCAATGATGAAATATCATTAGCATTAATTATTGAAATTGATTCAAATATTAGTAATACAGAAACACCTTATTTAATTCAATATTTACAAACATATCAAACAGAAAATATTTCAATAGATAAATTAAAACTTGAAATTGATGTTTCACCACCAAATCTATCGAATGTAGACGATTCAATTCTTGATATATTAGGATATTTTATTCAAATTGATACATCAACAAGTCAATCATTAATGTTATTACAATTAAAACGTCGTTCGATTTCTGTTTTATATCATATATTAAATGATAAAAAATTAATTGAAATATTCATGGAAAAACCATATGCATCTACAATTGCTAAACTATGTTTATTTAATTCATTAGAAAAAATTCAACAAGAATCAATTGATTTCGATTTATTTAATAAACAAGATTTAGAAAAATATTCTTTAACTTTCGATATATGTGAAAATTTAAAAACAATAACTGAAAATGAAAATATAACTCATAATTCAATATCAACAAATGATCAACATGATTCATTATATACTATATGGACTAATGATGAATTCAATTATGATCAATTAATTATGAATACTTTATTAATACCTATATCAAAATATAATCCATGGAAACCATATGTATCTGAAATAGAAATGGATTTTTTTAAACAAGGTCGAATTGGAAAGGATGAAATTTCTATTGTTCCACAGCCAAGTCATATTGCCTCTTCACTAGCAATTCAAGAATGTGGAATTAAACATCGATTTCATGGACGAATAGCTCCTGATAGTAGTAATACTCGAGTAAGTTTTCCAACATTTATTATTGATAATTTACAACTAAGCGAAGGAAAATGGTATTATTGTGTTCGATTACCAGTTGGCGGAATTATTCAAATAGGATGGGCAACAAATGGTTTCACACCTTCTGGAGGTTGTGGAGTAGGTGATGAAAAATATTCATGGTCTTATGATGGATTACGAGGTGTTTTTTTTCATGAAGAAGGATATTATGGTCAATTTAATGATATTCGTTGGAAAGAAAATGATGTATGTGGTTGTGGAATTGAAATCAATGGTAAAAATACAAAAATTAAATATTGGTTAAATGGAAAATTCTTAGGTACAGCTTTTTCACATGATTCATATATACCATTATCAACAAAAAAATGTAATTTATTACCACATGGACCAATAACAACTTATTTTCCAGCTATTACTATACAATGTGGTAGTGATTCAGTTAAATATTGCGAATTAATAGTTAGTCCAGAAGATATGCAAGATTGTCCATTACCAAATGGTTATAAACCTTTATTATTACCAAAACAAATTCATACAGAAAATTCTCTTGTTGATTATCCTTTTAATGCTTATTTAATTGGTGAAAATTCTGAAGATTATTTGTATACTACACGAATAAATTCTTCGAATATTTTCCTACGTGATTTTATAAATGAACAACACATTGAAACAACATTTACTTTCGATGATAATCATTATCTTATTTTATCTGAACAAAGTATTGGTTTTCCAATGATAATAAATAATGATAATATAACATCATTGACAATAAGTTTTGATTTTCAAATATTATCATCCAATGAAAACTCGGATATTTTATTATTCAAATTTAATTCAACAGAAATAACATGGAAAAAAACTGATGAAAAATTACGATGTGTTATTATATTTCTAGCAAAAAAAGGTCACATAAAAGTTTATATCAATAATAAATATCGAATATTTACAGATGCATTTCAACGTGAAACAATACGTAAATTAAATTTACATATTTTACCAGATATTAATGCTAAAATAAAAAATCTTGCTATTTGGAAATATGCACTTTCCGAAGAAAATATTCGACGTTTGTTTACTTATGATCTTTCCTATATTGCTATTGAATATCGACAATTAAAAGAATATCATAAACAAATAAATCAAATATCATTTTTGAAAAATCAAACAATATTTATAAATGAATATCTTATTCCATTTAATGAACCATTTAAAGATGATATTTGGAAGAAAAAGAAAATACAAGCAGATGATTATGAATCAAAATATTTCAAGACAAATAATAATATAGATTATTCTATTATTGAACTATATGGAAATCAAACATATCTCGTTTTAGATAAATCAAACGAACAATGGTTTGAATATACACTTATTCTTAATATTTCTATTCCTCAATGGCCAATTATAAATGAAAAATTGACATTAATTATATTAAATTCAAAAACAGAAATTTACATAACACATTATGGTAAACTTTGTCTTGAAAGTAATCGAACTAAATATGAAAGTAATTCAACAGTTATGCTTAATGAATATTTTAATTTATTTATATGTGTTCAAGAAAAATCTGTTCAAATTTATTTAAACGAAAGTTTAGAAATCAATATTGAAATTGATGATGAACGATTTTATATCAAATCGAATCGAATTGATTTATTTAAAGAAACTAATTTGAACAAAAATACAACAAACGAAGATACAGTTCGCATATCATTGAAATCGATCACGTATCTTAATCGAGCAATACCAGTAGATTACGAAAATTTACAAACATTGATTGCACCACCCTTTTTGATCATTGGATCAAATTTAATAGCAATGGGTTATAAAAAGTCATGGATCAAATCAGTTATAAAACAATATAAAACAACAAATATTTCAATAATTCATAAGATTTTATATGAACAAAAAGAACAATTCATAAAAAATGATCTTGAAAATGAACGAAATCGTTATTTAAAGATTTTATCACGATTACATCCATCAATTGGTTCTCACATTTTAAAAGATTTAATCGAATGTTCAGACTTTAATACAAACGAACAAATAATCGATATTTTACAACGTATTTTTCCATATTGGATATTTTTACAATCATCAAAAATTTCTAATAATAAAATAGAATTTGAATTAAATTTAGATACGGAATGGTTTTCTCAATATTTTCAAGATTTAAATATGAATTCTAACATTAATGAATGGATTCTAGACAAAGCATCAATAAAAAATAATGAAAATAAAATTTATCAATTACTTGATTTAAATGAATTTCAACAAAAACAAACAACAAGAAGAACGACTCTGAAATCAATCAAACATTCCAATAAAAATATTTCATCAAAACAATTTTTAACATCTCGTATTAATTGTGAACATGAATTAACAATAATCTATGCACGTCATACTATTCTCAACATGATTGAACTCTGGTTGAATGATCAAACAACTTTATTTCCATTAGAAAAACTTGGTGATTATACATTTCTTGTTACTTTATTAAAATTATTGGATTATATCGAAACAAATAAAGATGAAAAAAATGATCGAATACATTTATTAATTAATTCAATTCTTAAAAGTGAAATGAAAAAATTATCTGAAAATAATTTTACAATTAATAATGATTTATTAGAAAGTAAAGCACCATTATTTTATCATTTACAAAAATATTTATTTATTCAATCGATTCAATTATTATTTAAACCATATTTATTTAATCAAAATTTGAATGAAAAAATTCGAATCAATGAACAACAATTAGATTTTAATTTTATTTTAAAAATTCTTGATTTTTTCATCGAATTAATAATCGATAAAACATTAATAAAACAAAATCAAATTGATTTAATCATATCATTATTATTTCCTACACAATTAATTAATTTAATGTTTAATTTATTTTTATTAGTTCCAACACATCAATCAAAAATAGTTATTATTCGTCAATTGACTACGTAAGTGAATATTCTTATAAAGACAGTAGTTGAGTCGCTACGTTATTTGACATCTATTCGCAAGATGCTGTATTCGAAGTTCGACATCATCAGCTATAATATGATCTTAGACAATTTTTATGAACCCAAGTCTGATAGTTCCAAAGCAGCAGTTTTCAGAATTTGTTGAGATTTTCCTATAAATTGCATTATATATCTTATCATAAAGGGAACGAACTACGCTGTAAGCAGGTTGCTAGTTGAGAATAATGGCGAGCAATCAATCTTTTGGAACAGTTCAAATGTATTACATACTATTACTAGATAAAACTGATATTTTGAGAGTACTCTCCTCCTTTTCGAAGCTTCTAGAGAATAGCTCTTTAGAAAAATTTGAAATTTTCTTTTATTATTTGTTCTTCGAATAAAAAAGTTAAAACATCGACAATACTCTAAAACACGCATGTTTCTAACAGAGATAAATTCAATAAATTCACGGTAGTCTCTCATATTTCGATTTAAGGTGATTGTAAATTGAATTTAAAGCTTAATGCGACCATAGATCGTGACTTCAAAAAATAAAAATAAATCTTTGAACCTGCCCGAGTTCAAATCCGTATGTAGAAGGACATACAGCTCTCGATACATCGGCTTTCGTAGCTCATATATGATTAACCAGTAGATATGAAGAACGAAAACAATTGAGCAAGAGAACTTTTAGTCAGGTCGATCTTCTATCTAGTGCTACAATCAATGATAGTTATTCGGACTTGTGCAACTATCTCTGAACATTTCTTCATATCATAGAATAATCGAAAATCATTGATCTTCTTCGTTGTAAAAATATTTTTTTTTTATACTCTACGATTTCTTTCTATTTGATAGTTTAATTCAAACAAATGAGCATTTCAATTTAAATAATGAAATGCAACAATTCTTTTTTCAATTATTAATCGAATTATCATCAACTACAACATCACCAACCAATTGTTCGACAAAAAATCTTCAAATGATTTTAACAGATTTAGTATTTGTTTTATTAACAAAACAAAAAAATCAACCTATTGAAAATAATAATCAAATTCAAGAAATTGAATCAAAACTTCCTGTAGAAATTCAAGATTTATATACAACAACTAATGCTATTATTGCTTCGACTGATCCAACAAAACAAACATTATTACCTGAAACTTTCCTTCAACAATCAAATGATATTTTAGGTGGTAATTTTAAACTAAATCAAGATTATTTTAATAAATCTAATAATTATTTTAATACCACTGCCGATCAAGATTTAATCAATTTAATGAATAATGATCAATCACTTAACGATTCATTTTCAAAATTCATTCAAAATCTTCCAACAGAATCTCAATCAAATGCAATATTCTATAAAAATTCTATATCTTTATCAAATATTCCATCTGATTGTATTCAAATTCGTGTTCAATTCTTTTATATATTAAATAAATTCATTGAAAAAAGTCTTTCATTGGTTGACCTTAGTTTACCATTAGGACAAAGTTTTCTAACTGATCGAATTCGAATAATAAAACCTTATTTATTATCGTCAACAAAATTTCAATTATTAACAGAAACATTAGAAAAAACCGAAGCTGAATATAATAGTGATTGGAATATAGTTAATTTTGATACAATTAAAGCTAGTACAAATACTGACAATAGTGAAAATACAATGTTCTATCAAGCTTATCAACAATTACATACAAATGCTCATATCACATTTCGACGAGCGAATGAACAACTTTGGCATGCACAATATATTGGAATGCATAGTACTGATCATGGTGGACCTTATCGTGATTCAATAACTCGTATTTGTTCAGATATATGTTCTTCACGATTATCATTATTTATTTTATGTTCAAATGGACGTACGAATAGTGGTTCAAATCGAGATTGTTGGATTCCAAATGTTTTTCCACCAAATAAATCTATATCAAATAAATATAAAAAACAATATCGTTTTATTGGACAATTATTTGGTATGGCTATAAGAAAAAAACATTATTTAAATGTAAAATTTCCTATTTTATTATGGAAAAAATTATTAAATGAATCGATTACTATTGAAGATATTGAAGCAATTGATTTACAAAGTTTTACATTTATAAATGAAACAGAAAAAAATATTGAACAAATTAAATTAATTGATACTGAGAATGATATTGATTCTTTATTTAGTAGTATTATGAATGAATTACGATTTGATGTTGTTAGTTCATCGGGAGAAACCTATGAACTTATTCCTGGTGGTTCTAATATTCCTATTACAGCTCAAAATTTTAAACATTATTGTTCTTGTTATCGACAATATCGTCTTAATGAATTCAATCGACAAATTGATTTCATTCAACAAGGTTTATATAGTATCATTCCATCTTATTATTTAAGTTTATTTACTGCTAAAGAACTTGAAGAAGTTGTATGTGGTAAAGATCGTATTGATATAGAATTTTTGAAACGAAATACTTCATATGGAGGTCATTTTAATCAAAATTCACCGCCGATTGAACGATTTTGGACTGTTCTTAGTGAAATGTTTAATGATGATCAAAAGAAATTATTTTTGATATTCGTTTGGGGTAGAAGTACATTACCAATTCGAGATGAAGATTTTCAATCAAAGTTCATCATTAATTCATACGATGTTTATGATGGTCAAGTCGATCAAGCACTTCCACGTAAGCATACTTACAATTTCATGCGTGAAAAATTTCAGTTCAGCAGTACTGATCTATCAGAATGATCAAATTTTTTATTTGTTCAATAGACATTACAATACTCATAGTCATGAATTAGTTAAGTCAATCTCCCCTTCAAAAATCGATCTTGCGCCAGGAACGTTCAAATTGCATGAAATTTTCAGGATATGTTGGGGCTAATGTGGAAAGACTATGGTAAAATTTTCAGTCCTATATCATAATGTTTTTCAGAGATACTCAACAAACAAGGATCAAAAATAGCTCATTTGGCAACCCAAATTTCTCAGTGGGCCTTCATTCTATAGACTTAATTTGTTTTTTGTTTGAAAACACATGTCAAGATGAAAAAGAGTTTCGATTTTTTTCGAAAATAGCTTATTTTTCGAATACTACGCAAAGTTGATATCTCTGCCTCATCCTGTTCAACATCTATAAAAGTTGACTTGAGATCCTTGATTCCAGCCAATTCACTTGGAACCATCCGAAAAGGAGGGGGTGAGAAAGCAGTATTTGACTATGTGAGTATAAACAGCCGATATTTTCTAAATATCAATATATCGCTTTGAAACCAATAACAAACATCATCATTAGGTGCAACATGACCAAATACTGCCTCCCTAGATCCATTTTTTTAATGATGCCAAGTAAGTTGGTTTTAGTCAGAGGTCTCATAATCAAAATCGAATGAAATATGTCCATCAAGACTTCACTTGGTTAGTCAATCAACTTTGATATGCTTCTATATATTCTGAATAGAACTTTTCATTGAACCTATTGAATTTGTTTGATACATTTTAGGATCGCATACATGTTTTTTTACTATTGATTTACCCGCTTATTCAACGACTGATATTATGTATGAGCGTTTAAATTATGCCATTACTTGCTGCTCAAGTATCGATGGTGATGGTACTGTAAATGATGCATTTAATGGCGAAGGTTTTGGTTCTGATGATAGTAATGATGATGAATAAAAGATAAGCAAAAATGTTTATTTTTATTGGAGACTCTTCAATTCAAATAGTGCCTATTTTTTTGTAAATTGAAATAAATTTCATTGATACTATTGATTTAAAGCCATAGAAATACGTTCGCTAGTTGAGCAAATTTATTGGATGTTAATAGAGTTTGATCACACTATTTACTGATAAGGTGTCGATATTGTGTGTACACACCCAAATCTTCTTGCAACTTCTTCGAAGATTGCAGATGTGAAATGTAAACCACGATCGGTCTGTCATCGATCAGGAGGATCAAATTCCAGTGATATATCAACAAGAAATTCAGATGCTGTCTGTTTTGAATCATCAGAAACAGCCTTACTGATTACATATTTTGAGAGATAAACAATTAAGAAGATTATATATTGATTTCGATCCATTGACCTTGAAAGTGCACCGCTAAAATCCATTTTTATTAGATCAAATATTACGTCTGGAGATTCAATTAATTACATTTATCCTAGAGCTTTATGTCTTTGAATATTGTAGTGTGCATACCTTGACGATGGCATCGACATTGATGTTAAATGGTTTAAGCCCATTAGAATTTATTGTATGTCCAACATAATCAATTTCAGGTCTTGCTTATTAACATTTAGACAGATTCAAGTGAAGATATGCTCTGTTTGATAATGATAAAACATTATTCAAATTTTCACAATGTTCATCGAAGAATTTTGAGAATACTATTATGTCTTCCAAATAGATTAAACAGAATTACCATTGCATTGTCCATTTGATAGAAGATTGTTGAGCACCGTTTGGAAAGATAGTGAAACATTTTTGAGACCTTGAAGGAGGACGTTAAACTCTTACAGTCCCCGCTGGTGTTGAAAGCTGTGCGTAGTTTGTGTTTTTCATTAATCGGAAGTTGAAAATAATCACTTTGAAAGTCCATCTTCGAAAAATATGACGATCCCCCTAATTGTTTGATCATGTCTTTCATCTCAGGCAAAGAATACAAATCTTGTATAGTTATTTGATTTAAACGCCTGTAATCTACACAAAACTTGTACTGACTATCTTTCTTCTTTGCCAACAGTACAGGATAAGACTATGCTGATTGTGATGGTCGAATTAAACCAGATTTATCCATTGAATTTATTTCATTATCAATAATCAGTTGTTTTTTTCCGGATTCACTTTATACAGTTTGGAATTAATCAGATTGTTATTACTTGTAGGTCTAGTGCGATGTATATGTTTATTTGCACTATTTGGTTTAGATGGATCAAACAATGAATTGTATTGACAGAGGATAGGTAACAATGATTGTCTCTATTCACAATTAAGATGAGATGTCCTTACATCAATCGTTTTTTTTTACTTGAATGCACATCTTTATATCTTCATTGTCATTAGATTGTTATTGTAATAATGAAGATGAAGATGTGAATGGTGAAATTAAAAAACAACTTGAATTACGTAATTCAATTTCAATAATTCCAATTAGAGTGTTCTTATTCATTATTCTAGATCGATTTGAAATATTTATAATTGTCATCAGTGGTTTATAGTTTTTCGCATTAATCAATGCATGTGGCATTAATACTGAATCTTAATATAAAAAATGAGGTGTTGGAATAAATTGTACTATGTCACAATTAGATAAATCAGTAATTGCAACTTTAATAAGGGTGGGTGGGTATAGGTGTGGGGTGTGGGTGTGGATGTGGGTATGGGTGAGTGTGGGTGCGGGGCGTGGATATTCGTGTCGATATGGATGTCGTTCAAGAGAAGATACACACCCACACCCACACCCACCCTCATTTGCATAATAAAAACGATTTATTTTTTTGAAAAAACAATGATTAATGAATAAACTCATCACAAATAATTGACTCTGTTCTTCAATTACTTATGCAGCCCTTTTCTTAAGGGTTCCCTCACAAATGATTTTCCGCTTAGAATAAACCGTTTGGGTTGAAATTTTCAGGAACGATTGGCTCTAGTGAGAAATGCTTGTGGTAAAAATTTCAGCTTGATATACCTGACTAGATCGAACTTCCGGCTTGTTTTCCAACCTTCCCGGAGAATTGAAATAACTCCATCATCAGAAGGGTATAGAGCTTGGGCTGGTTTCAAATTAAAGCTAACCTCTGTACGCAACTTTTCATCGGATGGAATATTCAAATCTCCCTCCATTCATTTTTTATGACCATTTTAATGAACATGATGTGCAAAATAAACATAAAAAAAATGTCACTCCACGACAGTAAATCCCACTTTTCTCAGTCCTAGAATCAAGTATTAAAAATCCGTCCGATGAAAAGTTAGTTCTGATCAAGACCTTTAAAACAAAAAACAGAGAACATCGGTGATACTCCGAACTGAGGGGAAGTTATTTCAATTTTCCTGTCTAGAAACCATGTTTTGAGAGAAATGCTAAAGAAGTTTTAGAAATGAATTCTTTCATTCAAATTCAGAATAAATCATATTACAGCGGTATATATTTAATATATTCCAGTGGACCGTTTTAAAGTACGTAATAGATGAAGATAGCTAACGCCATGTAACATACCGGTTAATATAAAAATGTTCTATTCAATGATAATGCAAGTGGCAACGCAATTTTTCCAAAACTAAAAAACTTTAAAAACCACGAAAATTTCTCCGAAAATATAGTAGTAGAGTCGAACTTTCATGCGATAAGTCTTTGAAAATCTGGTCATTTTCTAAAAAGCTATATATATTCTGAAAGAGGAGGCTTCGCTGCACCTTCCTATGATAAAAGCTCAACTTCGATATTTCTTTGAAAAATTCGATTTTCTAAGGAAGCCTGTATAATGCAATATGAAGGCTATAGTACATATTCCTATGACATAGTTTATCATTTTCGAAACCATAGTTTAATTTTAATTGGCTCATTCAAATAAGGCATTTCTATTTAACTGTAATAATCTATTAGACTATACAGTATTGTGAATAAATAGATTTTAATGAATAATAATTCAAGAAATTTAATATCAATAAAAAAAGCAGATATCATTTAACACTAGATAAAATTATTTCTTTTTTATAATTACGTCATAGTTTTTCGAACTATCGAATAAGTCAATAAGAATTTTGTGCTGCATACTCGAAAAGAACCATTCTCGATGAGTCAATGCAAATATTCGATAAGAAAAAAAGAGGAAGAAAAAGAAAAGTATTAGTCTCGATCATTCATTCATAAGTATGTCATGCATGTAATACATGCATCGACTCTTTTAGTTTTTTTTCTTATATATAAAAGTATTTTGAAAAACTTCACAGACTCGGACAATAATACGTGATTATTATTTCTGTAAAGAAAAGAACTTGGTACAATTAATAATAATTATCTTTCAGACCAAATTTTATTTTCAAAAACCCTATGTTTCCAGCTAAACGACGCCTAAGTAATACTGAGTCATCTAAAGAAGAAACAAAGAAAGTTCGAGGTAAGTTTTACATATTAACATCATTATTTGAAGTACTTTTATTTATCCTTATTTAAATAGCAACACATGACGACAAGTAAGAAGAATGACAAATACCTTTTAACTCGACTTTTTTCTTCTCTTTTATAGAAAAATTATTAGTTGTTTCGAAAATTTATCAAATGAACTATTCTATGAATTGTTCGATTATCTTGATGGCTACGAAATATATAGAGCATTTTCAAATCTTAATAGTCGTTTCAAAGCTCTACTCACTTCTTCATCTCTTCGATTAAAGATTGATCTTCGTTTTCATCCAGAAGCTGTTCTGCAGTATTGTTCTACATGTGTTGTTGCTCCGAACAAAGATCGAATCGTTTCACTTAGGTTGCCCAACCCTGATGACTATAATGCAGGTTTTACACTATTTAATATCGATTCATCATTTAGTCGACTTGAGTCACTGATATTACGTTATATAAAATCAAATCAACTCATACCTCTTCTTATAAGTTTGATTTCTCTACCTCGTCTATTCTCATTGATTATCTATTACAATGATGATCTCAAAGAGATTAGCAATATCTATCAAATCATTTTCAATTTATCTATGTTAAAGTATAATAAATTATCCTTTTTCTCACTTGAGTCGTTCATTCCTATGTCAATAGCAATCAAACAGCAATATAGTGGTATCAAATATCTCGTTATTGATTATTGTTGTAGTCTTGATAAGTTAATTGCTATGCTTTCATGCACACCTCAACTCTGTCGGCTAACTTGTCAACAAGTGAATGAATCAGACGACAACATCGTAAAAAATGCACTCAATTCAATACTCAGTCTAACTCGTATTTCCATTGCTGGATGTTATGCAGAATTTGATGAAGCAGAATTATTTCTCACAAATGTATCACCTCAATTAGAAGTATTACGTATTAATACTTTTAGAGATGTGACCTATTTGGATGCTAACCGATGGAAACAAATAATTTCGCAACATTTACTTCATTTAAGTACATTTGAATTTAAATACGAAGAACCTATTGATGAAGACTTCGAAGCAAGTATTCACTATGAAAGACTTAATCAATTCAACTCTTTATTTTGGATAAAACGAAAATGGTTCTTTAGAATTTATATCGACACAAATTTTTGGGGCAATAACGTTATTGTCTATTCTATTTATTCATACAGGTTTATTGAAAAGAATCATTTTTGTAAAACAAAGTTTCGTCTGTGTTTTCTTTTATAGACCAATACGAGGCAATTCTCGTGAGGAGAGAGAAAACGATGAAAGTTTCAATGATGATATCAGTCAAAATATTACACAACACAGTATCGTTTCCAATCAACAAGAATCTGTTGCTTCTTCTAAAATCTTTTCTGAAACTAATCAATTAACGGTCATCGACCTCTCATATTCTGAATTTGATGAAACTTTTTTTGATATAATACATCCTATTTTAAGTACAGTACAAATTACCTGTTTGAATATTACGCTCAGTAAGATTTTCATTGGCGCGTTAATCGATATGATTAGATGTTTACCTAATCTTGATTCATTGATAATTTCATCTTTGAAAATGGTACAACCACGATGTTTATCTATTGAAGAAGCAAGAACTTTTCGTTTGTTATCAAATAACAATAAAATTACTAAAATCAATCTTAAGCAAATGAATGACTTGGTACAAGTTCAATTTCTTCTTGATTTCTGTCCTCGTATGAAATGTTTCAAGGTGGATTGTACAAATGGTGTCTTACCTGAAAATGTTCTACGATTTATTTTAATGAAAAATACCAAATATATTCGTAATCTATCTTCACTATGTCTTAGAATTTCAAGAACAAATATCGACATCGTCGACAAATTAAAAAGCATAATTGACTTTGAACAATTATGTCATAACTATACCATCAAACAAATAGACAATAGAGTTTATCTAGGATTGAACTTATGATAATTTATTTCTTTTGTAAAGTTTTTAATAAAATATATATTTCTTGTGTAAAAAGTAGTTTATAGTTATTTGTTATTCGAACCAATATATAAAATAAAGAGTTAACTAAGTACTTAGAAAAATTTAACAGCA